ACAGGGCCCTGGTGGGGAACCCCTTCAATGACCAAGGAGAACAACTGTACAAAGTGACTTAATGGAGTTGGGATTTTCTTTAGGGGACGGGGACCTGAGCCCATTTCACTCCAGACACTAAGGCACAAAGCCGCAAGCCTACAAGGGTTTCATCCACCTCTGAGAATGTTTAAGACTTGAAAAAAATTATTGGCTGCAAATTATGGAAATGGCAAAAATCAGACTCCATAAATGATTAATTTCTGTGTTCATTACTCATTAATTGTTAAATTGAGTGTACATAATCTCACCACATTTGAAAACAATTTGTAAGTTAGATTCTCTCACACAAGAACTCACCAGTTGCTAATGATTGCCAAGAAAAAACGACAAGTTGGAAGTTCAGCGAGTGACTGTTAGCACAATCATTTCAAAAGCAAGTCAGCGGCCCTGCTCAGCCACCTCAGAACTCCACCATGCTGAGTAAGCACGTCTTTCTGAATTCATCCCTGCTTTCAGTGTTTCTCTTCCTATAAATTATAAACCAACAGAAGAAATAGACTCCACCTTCTTTCGAGACGAAAACTGTCGAGGCTAACAAGGTTAGGTGGGAATTAAATGAGCCGCTGTTGTTGCTCCTGACGAAGACTTAGGACATGAATTTCAGTGAGACAGACCATTCTTATTTTTAATGTTTATTTATTAATATTATTATTACTGAGATAGAGTCTCGCATTATAGCCCAGGCTGGAGTGCAGTGGAGCGTTCTCTGCTCACTGTAACCTCTGTCTCCCAGATTCAAGCGATTCTCCTGCCTCAGCCTCCCGAGTAGCTGGGATTACAGGTGTGTGCCATCCACACCTGGCTAATTTTTGTATTTTTAGTAGAGTCGGGATATTGCCATTGGCCAGGGTGGTCTCAAACTCCGGACCTCAGGTGATCCACCCACCTCAGCCTCCCAAAGTGCTGTGAGCACAGGCATGAGTCACCTTGCCCGTAATTACAGACCATTCTTTTAAGTCATAAAACCATCATCCACTGATTCGCATCTTGTAGCTTTTGCAATTCTGCTTCCCACCCACCCCCTCCGCACACTGCAATGAAGGAAAAGCAGATATTTTTCAAACTCATACCATATGAATGCCAGGAACATTCTTTTTTCTTTTTTAGAGACAGGATCTCACTCTATCGCCCAGACTGGAGTGCAGTGGTGCAGTCATAGCTCACTGTGGCCTCAACTTCCTCAGCTCAAGCTATCCTCGCACTTTGGCCTCCCAGGTAGCTGGAACCACAGGCATATGCCACCACTCCCAGCTAATTTTTTTTTTTTTTTTTTTTTGGTAGAGAAGAGGTCTCTCTACATTGCCAGGGCTGGTCTCAAACTTCTGGGCTCAAACAATCCTCCCACCATGGCCTCCAAAATTGCTGGGATTAAGGTATGAGCCACAGTGCCAGCAAAGGCTCCATCACCTTCAGAGTTTATTTTTAAAGTGACTTTAGTTGGAAAAATTGTTTTTGTCTCTTGAGCCACTAAATCCAGATGTGGCTTTCTCTCCATGTGCTAGCAGAGTCCCCCTTCTGGTACTGGAGCCGCTACCAACCCCGTTAGGGTCTGCAGGCACCCCTCCCAACCTCACTGCAGCAAAGGAGTTTCTGCTCTTCTCCCAGAGCTACTCTGTTCAAACACACCGGCCACGTGAATAGTTTATTTTATCCAACATCTTGACCAGTTAATGATATTTGCAACAAAGCTGGTAGTTATTAAATAAAACATTTGAGTTAACCCTAAAGACAAATAACAGTCTGAATGAAAGCCCAACTGCCCATGGCTATTTTAACAAGAAATCACTGCAGGCTATGAAGGAGAATACAGATGATTCAGCCTGGAACTAGAAGAGTCCAAATCAACGGGAGAATACGGAAAGTGTTTTCCTTGATGAGAGGAAGCCCTCTGGCTGAATATTCTGGGATTAGGAATCTGGTTTACGAGGCACAAACAATCCAGTTTTTGCTTATAGAAGCATGGCACCTTAATCAGGTATTAGAGCAAGATATTTAAAGCTCCCCGACTAACCGGCATGGAGAAGGGAGCCCCCTGTTGGCTTCGTTAGTTACAAAATTAGCTCATCTTCCACCCTTGATGCAGCTTGGCCTCTGGGCACTTGCAGCCCCAACGGTGACAGTCAACCCTGAGGCAGGGACAACCCCTAGGGGCTGGAGTTAGCTAAGAGTGACCAAAAACCAGATGAAGACCCCAAATTCTCTTGGGGGAGGGACAGGGACAGAGCGTTAAGCAGGAGAATCCGATGCATGGGTGGATCTAAGGGCTGTACATCTGAGTCTCGTGCTGCGCAGTGGCCCAGCACTCAGGGGACAGGACCTGGGTGGGCACCCACGTCTCTGCTTCGACCCAGAGACCACTCTAAGAAGCATCCTGAAAACCTTGGGTCTGGCTGGGCAGATGAGCGCTTATACTCCAAATGAGGCCTGGGCATTTTGGTCACCACTCTGAGATGACACAGGTGTTCAGACCGTGTCATGAAAGGAAAATGAAAACTCAGGACCCCAGTTCACTCTGCCAGAAGGAAAAAAAATTAAGTGGAAAGCTGAGTCATACAAGAAGCTGCCTTTTCTTTTGCTCCTAAGCAGAGAGCTACACATAAAAGGTCAACCCTCTCAGGTCGCAGCTCTGCGTCCACCTTGTCTGAGGTGAAATGCAGATTTCCTGAGCACAAGATGACGCATAACTGACGATTTCCCGCCTGCTCCTTTTCCCTTGCAGCCTGTGGACTCAGGGATGACCGCATCCTCCCTTTTCCCTCCAGCCCACTTTTCTGCTTACAACAGTGAAGCCCTTTGGAGAGAGGCACCGAGCACACTGCCTCTGCCATCCCGTGGTTTTTTCCTTCCAGGCATGTCCTGAGCCTTGGCAAAATAAACTTGCAAGTTAATTGTGATATCTTTCAATACTTCTTGGTTTACAGTGTCAACTAGACAAGACTAGTTCATGTTTCTTTCTTTCTTTCTTTTTTTCTGTTTTGAGACACAGTCTTGCACTGTCTCCTGGGCTGGAGTGCAGTGGTGCTATCTCGGCTCACTGCAACCTCTGCCTCTGGGTTCAAGCGATTCTCCTGACTCAGCCTCCCGAGCAGCTGGGATTACAGGCAACCACCACCACACCCAGCTAATTTTTTGTATTTTTAGTAGAGACAGGGTTTCACTATGTTGGCCAGGCTGGTCTTAAACTCCTGACCTCGTGATCCGCCTGCCTTGGCCTCCCAAAGTGCTGGGATTACAGGAATGAGCCACCACTCCCAGCCTTCCTCCCTCCCTCCCTTCCTTCCTTCCTTTTCTTTTTCTATTTAGGTTTCTTTTTATAGCAGTAGAGCCAGTTCATGTTTCCACGTGAGAATCTTTGTTTGAACATCAGCTCTCTCACTTGCTAAGTCAGGGTAAAGCCATTGTGGGGGCTGGAGAAGGAATGACTGTGGACGAGCTCCTGTCCCCACCAATGTGAAGTCAGAACCCCCAGTAACTCAGCCTGTGATTGCATTTGAAGACAGGATCTTTAAAAGGTAATTAACATGACGTCATTAGCACGGACTCTAAAACAATATAACCAGCCTTCTGCTAAGAAGAGGAAATGAGGACACACAGAGGCACACAGGAAGACCCGGTGAGGACCCATGAGGAGGACAGCAGCTACAAACCATGGAGAGAGGCCTCCTGAGAAACCAGCCCTGCCTTCACCTTGGACTTCAGCTTCCAAAACAGTGAGAAAGAAGTGGTTCTGTGATGCAAGCACTGTGTCTTTGTGATGTAAGCACCGGGTCTGACATCACAGGTCTTACATCACCTTGCTGACTCACACAGAACACTGCTTCTCTTTCTATGACCAAGTCATTCCCAAGAAAAACTCACTTTTTGAGACAAAAGCCCTTTCGAGGGACAAAGGCAGAGGTCTTCCACCAGCAGGGGCGGGTCTCATCACACCCACACTGCTGTGTGTCTCCACGCTTCATTCTTTTTATTACTGAAGCACCATCTGCCTTTTTGACAGGGTGAAAACTGCTCCTGATTTATGCTCTATACGTCCAGGTTTTCACACTGAGTTTATCTACGGTGACAGTCACCGATGCTCAGGCTTACCAAACTCCTCTCCACGTGCCTTTTCTTGGGCCCAGTGGTGCTGTGCTGCTCACTGAGCTAGCCGGCAGTCTGATGAGGTTCTCCTGGTAAATGTGGGCAGCCTCAGGGGTGAGAGGAGGGAGGGCTCTACTTCCCTCCCCATCACCTCCCTATGAGACAGTCACAGTGAAAGCAAGTCTCATCCAAATGCTGCCAGATGGACACTTAGCAAGCTGTCCCCAAAGCTGTCATGTAATCTGTCCCTCTAAGTTTTAGAGGGGCCTGATCTCACTCCTTGGGCCCCCAGACAGGCATTCACATGAGTTCTCTCCATGGCCTGAGCTGTAGCCTTGAAGCTAATCTGAATTATCCACCAGCTTGGAGTCATGGAGAAAAAAAGCCACTTTCTTTTTCGGATGGAGTCTCGCTCTAATGCAGTGGCCTGATCTTGGCTCACTGCAACCTCTGCCTCCCAGATTCAAGCGATTCTCCTACCTCAGCCTCCCGAGTACCTGGGATTACAGGCACCCACCACCACACCTGGCTAATTTTTGTATCATTTTTAGTAGAAATGGGGTTTCACCATGTTGGCCAGGCTGGTCTCAAACTCCTGACCTCATGTGATCTGCCCGCCTCAGCCTCCCAAAGTGCTGGGATTACAGGTGTGAGCCGCTGCGCCTAGCTGAAAAGCCACTTTCCAAACTGCCCAGACCCCACTTCTGACTCTGCAGTTTCCAAATAGATTATTTAACTAAAAGAGATTCTTTTACTATTACGAATTTCTTACAGTTAAGGTCCTCACAAGACATGGTGAAGAGCCATTATTGAACAGGCCCCACGAAGCACCGCCACACTCAATTTCCATGAAGAAAAGCACTCACACTGCAGCTGTGTGTGATTAATGAGAAGCTGTATTTGGTGCCAAAATTGTAAAGAGCACTATTTTGACATGAAAATGTATTCTTCTCTGTCTTAATGGCCTACGTCTTCAGAGTTTCCAAGGTTTTCTAAAAGTTTCCTCTTTGGAAAGAAGAAATCTGAAAGTCCTATCATGCCGTTCCTCCTAGCGTCTCTGAATTGGAAACAGATACAGATATTTATTAGTAATTTCTCATAGCATACTCGGTGACATTTTGTAAAACACAGTATGATTTAAAAGGTCTACTTTAAAAAACTGTTTATGGTTGCTCATCAGTAATTCTTACCTCCAAAAATAAAGCATTCTCTTTTCTTGTACAAAATATACCAAAACCAAAACCTATAATAAATGTATCTTTATTTCTAGGGGAGAAGATCGGTACCATATTCAGAGGTTTTTCTTTTTTGATGATTTGCAGTCTCAGGAAAGTGGTGGGAGATGGGGATGCTGAACAGGGCCCCAGTTCTTTGGAGGCTGGGGACATGGGTTTGGAATGAGATGGGAGCACCTGTGTCCCAGGTGGCTCCGTCAGGTGGAGCAGCCAGGTCAGAGAGTACAAGAGGAGAGAATAGGTGAGCAGACCGGGCGAGAGAAGGGGCCAGCATGGCCGGATGGCGGTGCAGAAGCAGAGACTGTGGGAATCAGGAAGAGAGCTGGGGACAAAGTAGCAGGTCATCCGTGTGACTGCAGATACCAGCATCAAGAATAAGGTGGTGAGAAGGGACGGCTTGGGAGCTGCCATCTTTCGTGAGGGCAGGAGGGTTGGAGTGACAGATGACAGAGCAAGGACAGAAAAAGGGGACCAGGGAGTCCGGAGGCTCACCCCAGAGGGGATGTGAGTTTGAAGGAAGGAGAGGAAACAGGGACAAGGAGGGACAAGGGACAAGGAAGGGACAAGGAGGGGAGGAGGGCTGGGACAGGTAGGGCAGGGGGCACAGGACGCAGGACTCGGCTGGGGCAGGAAGGGAGGCCGAGGCTGGTGGATCACTGGAGCCCCAGCTCCTGGTGCCATGGCCTGCATCCTGGGTGGCACCATGGCAGGGTGGAAAGGGTGGAAGGAGGGACAAGAGTCTGGGTGGTAATGACAGGTCAGGAGGCCAAGGCAAGGAGGAGTGTGTGCCGTGCCAGAAGGTGGCCCTGGGATCAGCCTCCATTGGTCCCCGTCCCTGGCTTACTGTCCTCTCAGCACTCAGTATGACCTGCTGTCTTAAAATCTGCATGTCTCACGTCTGTCTGCTTCACAGGGTGAAACTCCAGGGGTCAGAATATGACCTGTTCACTGACTATATCCGGGCACCTGTGCCAGTGCCCAGCACAGAGCAGGTGCTCAATAAACTATACTGTGGGCAATTCAAGATGGGAGGTGTGGGGCTCAGGAACAAACCACCAGCACTTGGAGGGGTGGTGGCCCCAAAAGGAAGTGCTGGGAAGACCTCAGGGGTACCATCTCCTTTGGGGCTGGAGCCTGGAGGACCTGGCCCTTCCTCCTGCTCACCAGGCTTACTCTGCAGCAGCGCAGTGTCCTCCACCCTGCTCTATACTGTTACCACTGCCTCTGCACCCCCCACCGGCCCCAGCTGCTTTCTGTGCCTCCCCATAGGTGGAGCAGGGTGCAGAGTCAGCACCCAAGGATGGTTTAACACATGAAAACTTCTGCAGGACCCAAGAGCTTTGCTCCTTTTTACTCTGTATCTTATCTTTAAAGGGAGAACTCATTAATCTTGTTAAAAATGTCACAGTGATCAGAACACTGGACAATATATTCGAATATTAGCACCAGGTCATGCTTTAAAGCAGAACCAGCCTTACATCGCATGCAGCCCGGTGCAAGTACAATATCACATGCAACGTGTCGGGGTCACATAGCAAGTCCATCAGAGCAAGAATTGCGTGACTGATGTCAATGACATCCTCAAGTTTCTGCAAATGATCCTGCGTCCATGGCATCACTGTCAGGCTGTCCACCAGCAGAAATCAATGCCTACGTTTCACTATAGAGAAACGAATTATTATTATTTTTTGAGATGGAGTCTCGACCTTGTTGCCCAGGCTGGAGTGCAATGGCATGATCTCAGCTCACTGCAATCTCCACCTCCAGGGCTCAAGCGATTCTCCTGCCTCGGCCACCTGAGTAGCTGGGATTACAGGCACCCACCACCAGGCCTGGCTCATTTTTGTATTTTCAATAGAGATGGGGTTTCACCATGTTGGTCAGGCTGGTCTTGAACTCCTGACCTCGTGATCTGCCCGCCTCGGCCTCCCAAAGTGCTGGGATTACAGGAGTGAGCCACCGCGCCCAGCTCTGTCTACTTTTTAACATACTGCAATTTAATACCACCTGACATACTGTACACGGGAATCAGGCTAGATTTGGGACACATGGGTTTTAATGACAGGTTACATTCAATCCCTCTAAAGTCTAGAGAAAGCTGAGCCTCAGCCCACACGGGTGGAAGCCACGAGGTGCAGCTTGATTTCACTGATGGTCTTTGATCTGCAACTCCACGTATGCCCACCCCGAGTACCATCAGGTGTGTCTGAATCTTCTGCCAAACACAAGATTTGTTGGGACAAAGTTATCGCAGACAAGGGGCATGATATTATGAAATCTATATTTGGTCTTCAACGCTGTCTCCTGTCATCCAACTCCTAAAATCTGTGGAATCTCCAGAGTGACTTATTTCTGTATGCTTATGACTGGCTGGCAACCCAGGCAGCTTCAGGACGAGGCTGGTCACTGGACAGCCCGAGACAGGATTAGAGGGGTGGAACTTTCAGCCCAGCCCAGCCTGGGAGGGGGTGAGGGGCTGATGGCTAAGGGGATCTCTAATGGCCAATGGTTTAATCAGTCATGGCTACATCATGAAGCTTCCAGAAAAAAAATCCTGAAAGGACAGGACTCAGAAAGTTTCCCAGTAGCTAAACCCACGGAGGCTGACAGGAAGGTAAACAAGAGCTCATCCATGTGCGGTGGGGGGAGGGGCGGGGGGGCATATGCCAACTCCACGGGGACAGAAGCCCCAGAGCTCCACACCCTTCCGGCACTCCCTCTATGTCTTGTCTTCTTCTGACTGTTGGTACCCTTTAAAATATCCTTTGTAATAAACTAGTAAACCTAAGTGTTTCTCTGAGTTCTGTGAGCCATTTTAGCAAATTAATAGCCCCTAGGAGGAGTCATGGGAACCCTGATTTATAGCCAGTTGATCAGAAGCACAGCCAAAATAACCTGGGGTTTGCAGCTGGCATCAGCAACGGGGCAGGGTGGGGGCAGTCCTGGGGACTGGGCCCTCATCCTGTGGGATCTCACACTATCTCCAGGTAGACAGGGTCACAGTTGAATGAGAACGCACAGCTGGTGTCTGCTGCAGAACGGCTTGCTTGCTTGTTGGTGGAGGAAAAACCCCCACACATGTGGTCAGAGCTATCTTCTGTGTTGATTATTGTTGCGGTGTGAGAGCAAAGGGAAAGCTGAGTTTTTCCCTCCGTGGGAGAAGTCAAACAGGAAATTATCCCACGGCCAACATACCTGGATCCCAGAGCGTGTGCATACTTACATATTTTCCTTGAGAGAGGCAAGGTAGGATTCCGTTTCTGAGGGAGACATGTCGGAGTCTAATTTGGCCAAGTAGCTGTAGACGTAGGAGAACGTCTCGAAGGGGATGCGAGCGGGCCCACCCTCCGGGTCGTCCGTGAGGATCTCGCACAGGTGCTTCAGCGCCGTGTTCAAGGACTAGGGGTGCCACAGCCAGGCGGGGAGAAAAACAGTTAGTCCTGGCATCGCTAACGCTGAGAGCAGGCACCGGCAGAATCAACACTCCAGCATGACAGACAGAAATTCTCCAAAAAGTATGCACTTTGTCTGAACCGAGAACTACGTGAATGCACAATTGCCACAATGAAAAATCAAAAGGAAAAGTTTGAACGGGGTGCAACTGACCAGAAAAAAAAATTCTAATTCACTGATCTTATTTTCTATTAAAGTAGGAACGACTGTTAGAGTCAAGAGAAAGCATCAATGTCTTTAAAACCAATTTCCTAAGCTAAAGCAGGAATGTGCGGCCCCATCTGGCCCAGAGACCCACTCGGGGAGGTGCCCAGGGGTTGAATGAACTCTGCCACCAGCCACAGGTGCTGCCTGCATAGGGCAGGGCTGGCAGCCAACGGCCTGCGTGCCTACCAGGAGGCTCTGTGTATTGCCCACACCTGCCCACCAAGCCTGGGGAGAACTCTGTCCTGGCTCCGCCCTGCTCACGCAGAAGCCTCTGGGCCCTGTGTCAGCTCCAGGATAGCACCTGGACTTCATCTCCCTTACACTCTTCCCCACTGCTGGCAGCCCACCCTCCGCTTTCAGTGGGAAAGCCAGTCCTCTGAGCAGCCTGCCTGCCTGCCTCCATGCCGCAGACGCTTTCAGCACCTGCCCTCTGCCAAGCCCCTAGTGGGAACAGCCAACAGGCCAGGCCAAGGTCATCTGCATGAGACGAGAGGCTGCACAGCGCTGGGGTTGCAGGCCTGGGCACCAGGATCCTCCCAGGGCCAGCCCCTGGCCTCCCACCTCCAACCTGCTCAATTCATCCTTATTGAAAAAAACATGAGAGGAGTATGTGTGTGTGTGTGTGTGTGTGTGTGTGTTGGAGGTGGAGGAAACCAGGTAACATAAGATTACTATCTTTTAAAAAGAGAATACATAGCCCAGGTCTCTTTTTCTCCTTCTGTATCAAGACATCATGACCTGTAGCCTTCAACACCCTAGCCAGGGTGAGCTGTGGGGACAGGTATTCCAATGCCACAGGTGGCCTCTGAGACCCATGCCTCAGTCCCCACCTCGAGTCCCTCTGTGAAGCCTGTCCTTGCCAGTGTGACTGTCTCATCCCTGCCTGGATGATCACACTGCCTACTGATGGTGAGCTCACAGGGGTGGCTGCTGAAATGTAACGCCCCTCGCCAACACACACACATGGACAGCCCTTCCTTCCCTCCACATTCGCCAATGGCCTGTTACAGGCCAGGATGTAGCAGTGAACAGACGCCTAATGCCTGCTCAGGTAGAGATCACGGTCCAGTGGGAGAGCCGCAACACCTGGATTCTGGAGTGCTCTGGAAGGGGCTTCCCAGAGCAGTGGGCAGGCAGTGCCAGGATGGAGGGTGACATTTTCAATTGGGTGGTCAGGGAAGGTCAGAGCAGATAGCATTTAAGCAGAGACACAGGGGAAAGGAGCCAGTCATGTGGGATGCTGGGAGAATTCCAGGTACACTTCTGTGTGCTCCAGAAACAGCCAGCTGCTCCCGGCAGCTAGAGCAGGCCGTGGAGGCGAAGGAATGCGGGAACTGAGGTCAGCGGGATGGGGTGCAGCAGGCCACGACGATGTGACTGGGTTCTATGGGAAGGTGTCGAAGGGTTTTAACAAAGACAGAGCACTGTGGACTCTTTCTAAGGAGTCCTTCTGCTGATGTATGAAGAGGAGGCCCCAGTGATGAGGGTGGAAGGCAGAACCCAGCGAGGAGGCTGCTGGAATAATCCAGCCAGGGGCCTGGGTGGTGGCAGCCGGCAGCTGGTAAGGGCCGGATTCAGCCTCTCCTGAAGGTGGAGTTACCAGAACTTGCTGGTGGCTGGATGCGGGGAGAGAGAGAACCATGAAAGGTGGCTCCAGTGTTTGGAGCCTGAACAGCTGGAAGGGTAGATTTGTTATCAACTGGGAAGTTCCAGAGAGAAGTGAGAAGCTGAGTCTGGGGTGGTTTCCACTGACATGTCTGTCAGGTGCCCAGTGGAAGTGATGGCTAAGGTGGCTACTTAGTGGGCCTGGCGCTCTGAGGAGCATGGTGAGATGGTGTACACAGGCAAGATGGTGTACACGAGCAGGATGGTATACACAGGGGGTATGGTATACACGGGTGGGATGGTATACATGGGTGAGATGGTGTACACGGGGGGATGGTGTACACAGGCAGGATGGTATACACAGGTGGGATGGTGTATATGTGCGGGATGGTGTACATGGTGGGATGGTGTATATGGGCGGGATGGTGTACATGGGTGGGATGGTATACACGGGTGGGATGGTGTACACGGGTGGGATGGTGTACATGGGTGGGATGGTGTATATGGGCGGGATGGTGTATACAAGGGGATGATGTACATGGTGGGATGGTTTACACGAGACGGATGGGGTACATGGGCGGGATGGTGTATATTGGTGGGATGGTGTACATGGATGGGATGGTGTACATGGATGGGATGGTGTACACGGGTGGGATGGTGTACATGGGCGGGATGGTGTATATGGGCGGGATGGTGTACATGGGTGGGATGGTGTACATGGATGGGATGGTGTACATGGATGGGATGGTGTACACAGGAGGGATGGTTTACATGGGCAGGATGGTGTACACGGCAGGGGGGTTATGTATATGGGCGGGATGGTGTATATGGGCGGGATGGTGTATACAAGGGGATGATGTACATGGTGGGATGGTGTACACGAGATGGATGGGGTACATGGGTGGGATGATGTATATGGGTGGGATGGTGTACATGGATGGGATGGTGTACATGGATGGGATGGTGTACACAGGAGGGATGGTTTACATGGGCAGGATGGCGTACATGGCGGGGGCGTTATGTATATGGGCGGGATGGTGTACATGAGCAGGATGGTGTATACAACCGAGCCCCATGAGGTTGTTGAGGGAGGAGGAGAGCACATGGACACACCACACCACCAAGAGCTGGGGAGATGAGGAACCAGCATGGGGATGCAGAAAGGATGGCCAAGAGGGAGGCTGCTGGGAAGTGAAGGAAAGCGTTCCCTGGTGGAGAGAACAGTCTCCTGTGTCAAAGCACACAGGACAGGCCAGGACCGACAAGCCTTGGCGGGAGGCACAGGATTCCCTCAGAGCTGGGTGCTGTGCTGGAGCCGGCTGATGGGAGGCAACTGTTAAGTTTCCAGCAGTTATGTGAGCTGGAGGACTTCACCTTGGCAGCCTGAACTCAGCAGCGGTGGGAGTATTTACACCATATCACTTGGCAAACATGACTGAGAACCAGGGCCTTCCCAGGCAGGCTGGAACCCCGCAGGCTGTTGGGTGGGGTGTGAGGGCAGGCTGAGGAGCTCCTGCCTGCAGCAGCCTCCTCAGAGGCGGCCCGCATCCCTGGGGAAGCGCCTGAGGGATGAATCCAGGCTGTAATCCCAAGGGAAGCCAAGAAACAAACACAGCAGGGCCAGCACCAAGCACTGTCGCAGCGGGAGAGCTGCAAACGTAGGGAAAAGGCCTCCGAGAGCCAGGCCAGGCCTATCTGGCTCCACAGTAGCTGTGTGGGGAATAAACCCCACATTCTCAAGGTCAGGAAAGGGCTCTGAGCTCACTCCTGGCTGTGAGGCAGAACGAGCCTCTCCTACAGAACACCATGGTCAGAACAAAGCTGATAATGCAGCATGCTGTCCTCCTCTTGGAGAGAGAATAATGACAGTCACCTAGTGTGGTTACCGTGAGGAGCAGAGACACCTGGCCAAGGCCCAGAGGGGCTCAGCAATCACCCAAGGTCACCCAGCCAGGCCTGGAGCGCAGCCAGTGGGTCTCTGAGCTCATGCCAGGGAATACTCTGTTTTGTCATGCCTAGCAGTCACTAGGCAGACTCTGGGAGCAAGGCCTGGGGCAGAGACGTTGCCTATTTGGGGACTTAGACATTTGCCTACAGGAGATGGAGCCCTGACCAGAACTTATCTCCCCGTCCCCAGTGGCCTGATGGGGCAGCTCCTCCCATTTCCAGCCCCTGCCCATGCCAGCAGTGCCAGTGGAAGCACTGCTGAGGTGGACACGGTTCGGGGTGAGTACAGCCCCCAGAGCAATGTGATGCTCTCCCTAGGAAAAGGGCCGAACCCACCCTGCGGAGCTGCAGGCACCTCTCCAGGACCACTGCACACGTGGCTCCTCTAAGACACTGTCCCCAAGAGAAGACTTGCTGAGGGTGGAGTGCTGCATTTCACAATCCATGTTCCTTGCTTGAAACTGCCAAAGACATGTTGTTATGCTGGGATTTGCGTTTACACCTGACACGAATGGAAGTCCGTCACCACTGCGTGCAGAACTGTGGGCCTCAGGAAGGATGATTGGGAAGGAAGGAGTTGGCACGGACGGAGCAGGCAGATGAGATCTGTGTTAACGCGCTCTTCCAAGGCTTCAGAGGAAGTGGTATTTCAGGAAAAATACATCAAAACACTCGAGCACCGCTGCCTCTGCAAAGGCGTGATGACACTACCCATGTCAGTGTTGCTGACAATAATCTGCAACCATTTTTACATCCAGAAGGATTCATGAGGCAACTTCCTTGATCTTGGGCTGCAAGTTACATTTCTCAAAATGCGTTTCTCAATTCCAAAGGCCTGCGGCTGGCATGGTCACTTGCACACCAGCCAAACGACCCTCTCCTTGGCACGGCTGTCCTGTGCTGCCCTGCCGCCAGTTGCTGATTGAGTCTCCGGTGTACATGCTGAGTAGAGGTGACTGGCAAGCTGCACTTAGTTTTTTGTTTTGTTTTTATTTTGAGATGGAGTCTCACTCTTGTCACCCAGGCTGGAGTGCAGTGCTGCAATCTTGGCTCACTGCAACCTCCGCCTCCTGGGTTCAAGCAATTCTCCTGCCTCAGCCTCCCCAGTAGCTGGGATTACAAGTGCCTGGCACTATGCCTGGCTAATTTTTGTTAGTAGAGACAGGGTTTCACTATGTTGGCCAGGC